AGCGCTCTGTCTAATACGCGCGGCTCTTCAATTTTTCCTTTGTTTTTATACTTCTTCTTCAGTTTTAAGCTTCCTCCGATAGTTTGCTTTTCCCTTTTTTCCGCCAGTTTAGCCATTCTATCCTCTATTTTAGTTGAAATTTCTTGTACTCCATAGGGTTATTTTATTTCCTCGAAAGGTGCACTACGTAGTCATTTGATGTCATGACCCTGACTCTGGACTCAAGCGCCTTCTTTTTACGCTAATACAATTTTGGGCCCTCTAAAGCGCGCTAAGTTGCATGCAGCAAGCGGAGCTCTACGTTCAGGATAACTAGAAGTTCTCTTCCATTGAAATCATTCGAGGTTTTTTCACTGTCTTTGCTTTGATTTCATCTAGAAGATAATGAAAACATACACTCAGAAAAACACCGCAGAAAAAAAATATGATTAATATTGTTCCACTTCGCCGCGTGGCTGTTATGGGGCACAGAGATATTGCCGCTCCTTATTGCGGCGAGAAAATGCTGAGGATAATGGCCAAATCTATAGTAATTTGATAAAGCGTATCGCCAGGAGGAGATGGCTTTTGTCTGATCCCCCAACTTGAGCTTTATGGTGCTCTTGACACCCAAAAATTGCGAACGCTGAAATTTACACGACATAATTTTAGCTAAAATTCGGTAGTTAAGTTTTCAATTGAAATAAAAAAAAATAAATAAAAAAAAACTTCTAGGCTTGAGCAATTTTATTTCATCAAATTTTATAAAATCACCTTTCGGAGTCGGATCACTCGCAAAGACTGATTTGTCTTTTTACGTTTTAACAGCTTCATGAAAAAATTGGAGCCCTTAAATTCGGTGGTCCGTATGGACCTTTCACTTTGTGAATGATTTCATAATCACCATAACACGATTTTTCAACGCTGACCCTTTGTAAAAATTCTTTGCGATCTTAAACTGAAAATTAGGTCAGCCACTTAGTGTGACATATTAGTCAGTGCTGCATCGGTCTGCACTAATAATTTCTCACGGGGAATTTTGCCGATCCTTCGCGAACTGGCAACCCTTGACAGTCTGTAACGCACGACCGGGTGAAATCAAAGTATGCTCAAGAGCTTGGTAGCGCGAGAATTAATCCACTTACAGCATTGGCCTCGCCGGCAATTATGGCTTGCGAGCAGAATTGTCCGGTTGTCAGAGTGCTCTTAAAAAGCAAGCAGCCACTCTTCAATCACTTCCTAATGGTTTGTGCTTTGAACGATAATAGAAACACGGGAGCGTCTCTTGTCTCAACTGGCACATGCCATTTGATGGCTTAGTATAAAAAACAAAACAAAAATCGTGGCCTAATAATGGAAAAAAAAACACGCAGAAAAACCCAGGGGAAAGACACTCACGGCCAGCGCCCTTCGTGAGAAGAGCATCAGCAAGTGTAGTGGTTACGCTAGTTATACTATGATTGATGACACAACTATATCGGTAATGATTGTCACCATTGTGGTAGTTGCAACTAGCAATGTTGTTGTATTGCAGTATTATGATTCAGGTTAGAGCTCCAGTATTTCACACGTTGATTTCATTGTTCAAAATATGACTTTTACGAGGAGTGTCTCACGTATAATTTCCGAAAAAGCGAACATTCGGTACCGGGTCAAAACTTTGAATCCATATGAAAAATGAAGACAAAACAATTACATCAAATGGACACGTGGATTTGACAAAGTGATGTCACAATGCACCGTGGAATTGTCAATTTTTTATCAACAATTCAAAGCTCTTAGTAAGTCGCTATCTTACAACCAGTGGTCAAAACCAAGAAAAAAGACCATTGATTCACTCAAATCATTCACTTTGTGGCAAAGAACAAAAAATCATCGCAACATCCCTATTGTACTTCGATAATCTTACAAATGATAATTGTAAGACCAGAGAACGCGGGATATTTTCGAGAGTTGAAAAACTGAAATTTTCCTCTCTACATTTGAATAAATTCAAAACTCCCGAAATGACAAGTTTTTTTGGTCCCAGCTGACCACTAAAACAGACAGGAGTCGTTTGCAGATAAAATGAAGAAATTCCGCTCTTATGCCGTTGGATCCTAATTGGTCCTTAACCCACTCTTGGAGAGAGAAATGTCTTAGGAATAGGCACTTGAGTGGAAAAACAACGGACTCAAGAAAAATTTACCGACACTGTCTAAAAAAAATTAAATTCTCAATAGGTGGGAGGGGGTAATCAAACAGTTAATAATCCCTGATAAAAACATGACTGGTATTCATTATCACTTCAAATTAAATCTGTTTAATAATTTTCATTATTTTTTTATTTAAATAAATTCAATATTGTACCTTGTTTATTATAGTCTATAATAAATACGCATTTCATAAAAAACTAATTAAATTGAACACATTTATCTTTTTTGAAATTGCTTTATGACGTAGGTAATTGAGGCATAGGTCGGAGCTTCCACTTATTGGAGCACTGGTCGATCCCCTCTTTATTTTGCTATAAAAATCAATTTCAATGCAGTAAAGTGAGGCTGAGTGGCATGGTGGGTGGCACATCAAGTCGTGAACTTATTGGTTTTATTAAGTTCATCAATGTTATCACGTGCCTCATCAACTTAACGGTCACGAAGCCGTTATTTTGTGTTTTACGTATAACAGTTAAAAGTATCATCGTTTTTTTAAATCAATTAATCAGCCTTTGCAACGTATGACCTGGTATTGGGTGACATAGCCGCCGAAAACAATATTATTTAAATCATCAATTGGATAGAGTTATTAAACAAAATTGTCACATCTACATCGCGGCGTTTCAAAATCTCATCTCCAATTTTAATTTTTTTGAAGGAAACCAATGAATATTTTTGCTTAACCTTTTGTATAAAGGACCGTCAAATTGGCAAGCAAAATTGCTGTAACTGGGGGGAGTTGTTGGTTGGATTCCTTTAAAAAAATTAAAATAAGAGATGACATTTTGAATGACTACAATGTAGGTGTGACTGTTTTGCTTAACTAATTCCAATTTTCAAATGAAAACTAAAGTATTTTAAAAAAAAGTACATTGTATGGTTTAAAAATATGAAAAATACATAGAATACTTAAAAAGTTAAAAACGCGTTTGCAGTTTTCTTGCCGCGAAAAATTGGTGTCGTATTTAATGAAAACTTCATCATGCGATTTCTCAAAGCGATGTTTTCAGCTGAGAGTGGTTGTCGCAGTATAAGCCTCAATTTACATATAATCATACGTAATATCATAGTTTAAATATTTGTAAATGTGCGTTTTACCTCGGAGCGATAACATAACGTTGACTATAATTGCAGAGACCTTAAAGAATACTTGAGCCAAGTTCAAAGGAAACGCACCGACTCAGTGATGAAGCGCGATCGATTACTGTTTTTCCCCATTTGAAGCTGTGGTAAGGAATCAGTTATTAAGGTGTTCGTTGCGAACATCTTGTTTATTGATCCTTTTCCAACGGTTATATGATAGATCAATCGATATATCGCAAAACACTAACTGATTGGTATCAAGTTTGAATCGAGCAAAGGAGGTTTTAATTTTTATTCCTCTTAAGGATCAACATCAACGACTATAAGTTGAACGATGTTTTCCTATTTTAAAATATTGTTGCTCGACTTTGAACTTTTGAAAGGAAAAAATTCACGACTGGATGTATTCAGAAGTACTCTCAACCCATTTTTTCCTAAAATGTGATTTGGTACGTTTCTGATTAACTCACGCTACAGTTTGTCGTGGAGCGTGGAAATTTCAGTGATTTGACAACGTCGCATAAAGGGTAATGAGAGGCAAAGCAATGAGCAGATTATATAGTGCAGGGTGGTAGGGATGAGGGGTAGCGAGGGTTGCAAGTCCTCGTCAAAGGGATGAAAAGCCACGACGCTAATAAAATTACTCCCCCTTTCTTGCCAAACCGGTTCAAACGAAGAGGCTTTGCGTTGTAATTAATTTGAAAATTGTGGAAATACTTTGCTACACGTCAACATCGCGCTGAAGGAATTCTGATATCAGGACGCCATTATTCATGTTTTCCCTGCGTAGGCCAATAAAATTATCTCCTTCTAAGACGACGAAAAGAGCCTGTGAACGTTTGGGTTGAAAGGTGGTGGTCTTAGTGGCTTAACATATTTTAAAATAATTGATTTTAAAATTATTGAATTCTCTATTTCTTGCATTGAGCTTAAAAATATAGCACTTTCTTTAAAGAAGAGTCCGCAAGCCTTCAACCCCTCCCAATTTTGCTAGCTTTTACCTCATGGCTAATACCCCCCCCCACCCTTTATTTAATCTTCCTTTTTAGTTACGATTTTTCGCAGGAAAAGAGACCCTAACCTGCAGAAGTAAAATTTTCAATACGGCGATTTTTATCAAATTTAATCACCTGGAATAGTGAAATTCACTGATTGAAACAAATCGTATCATAATTTTTTGAAATCTGGCTTAGAGTTTTCGAAAAAAATAAACTCTTAGCCGTGTTGTGTAAGTTTTGAAGGGTTTCATTTATTCTGATGGGAAAAATTGCATTGTAATCTGGAAATTGTATGCTTAAGCATAGCAAATTAGAATGTTCAAAAGATTTCCCCTAGAACTATTCTGGAAATGCAAACTCCGACCACTTGTTGGTTGAAACTTTGGTTTTGATAATTGGGAACTTGGGTTTGATAATTATTTGTTCACGAACGTGAGTATGATAATTTGCTCGTTTTTCGTCTCAAGAGTTGCGTAAAATACTCTCTCATGCTACTTTATTAATCAATATTAATGTTGAATCTCTGTAGAATGAGATGAAGCATCTTTTGCCCTGGGCAGCTAATACGTCACAACTTTTTCCGGAGCCTTATAGGTATTGTTTTATTGTCAATCTCTAGTTTTTCATGAGCCTGTTGATTGTATCAGATCCCATGAAATTTCCACAAATATTTCGCCAAAATGAGCTCGAGCAAAAATTGAATCAAGCAATTCTGTCAGGAGTTCCATTAACAAGAAAACTTTGATGATTTTGACTTATTCAAGAAGAATAGATGTTTATTAAAATCAAGAAACATTAAAATAATTCAACAAGTAAGAGGGCATATGCAAAATCAACCCGGCGGTAAGTTACAATAAAATCATGTCTCTAGCTGACTTTGTTTGCAGTTTTGACAATATTATAGTGATAACGCTGGAGGCCAATCAACTGACAAGGTTTAATGAAACAAATGAGAAAATGAACGGAAGAAGATAGAAGAAAAATAAAGGCTAAATTTTAGTGATTTCTATAAAGGTCACATGAGAAATTGACATGCATTTCTCACTTAACATGCGTCCTCAGGCTCAATTTGGATTTCTTCGAGTGCTCAAAAATTGCAATCAGTGGACGAAGGAAGTAGATGTTGTGTTTGCTCACAGCTTTCTGTCTCAAAAATGAAGCATATTTTCAGCTGTATTGCAAAAAAAAAAAAAAAAAAAAAAAAAAAAAAAAAAAAAAAAATGAAAATAACACAAGTTCAGAAGCTTACGCGTGTGAACTATGTATATGTTGTGGATTAAGAACGGGAAAAAATTAACCGTCTCGGAAAGGGTTGGTAATGCGTTCACTGGAGGAAAGTACGTACAATACATATGGTAACTAACATTTTTTCATGAGAGAATTGGACTGAACGCACTGAAAAGCGGGAAACAAGTGACCTCATTTAGTTCAAAATAGGATAAAATGTGTATAAATGGGTTTCTGCGTGGAGTTCTTTAAGTTATACGTAATAAAAAAATGAGCTCTATGTTCATGCTTGGTTAGTTAGCAGGAGAAAATTTGATATGATGCAAGTTAAAAACACGTGTAACTCTTGATTTTTGTTGCAAATGTGACTGTTTTCCTTTTTTACTAGCTGCTCCGGGCGCCCTACGGGCGCCCTCCACAGCTAGCAATGGTGGTGCAGTAGCTTATTTGGAATCGGAGCGATTAGTTGAATCTATTTAATAATGATGATGATTCTGCGGCAGAAGATTAAGGAATTTAACTGCCCCTCTGCGTTACAGGGTGGAGACTGCCATTCTACCGAAAAATGTTGTAAAAAGCTCGCATTATTAGTTTTTCTTTTTTTTGTGTTATTTTTTTAATTTTTTTTTATTTTTATTTTTTGATAATTTTCTAATGACTATGAGGCTTTTGGGATTTATAAAAGATCGAAGCACCTCTTTGTGCACGATGTTTTTTGTACGGTTGCCTTTGGGAAGAATTGGACTTCAAAATTTTTGTACGACGTAGCTCGTGAGAGTGCAACATATAGTTGACCATGGCCAAAAACTGTTTGGGGTAAATAAATGCCGACTCGCTTCAGTGTTTGACCCTTAGCTTTGATGATGGTCATGCAGAACGCAATGCGAATTGGAAATTGTCGCCTCTTAAAAGAGAAAGGGAGAGAGGAGTCTGCAGGTGACAAATCAATTCTTGGCAGTGAAATTCTTTCACCAGCCTTCTCGCCGGAAATGACCTGCAAATCAAGACAATTTTCATAACGTTTCCAGACGATCAATCGGGTACCATTCGATAAACCTTTAGAAACGTTGAGGTTTCTTAAAAGCATGACAAAAACCCCCTCCAAAAGTGTGAGTTTATGCGGTGGTAAGCCACTAAGATTAAGACTGTCCAAGAATTCGAGGGGATATTGAGAGCCTCTCCCTCTTCCTCTACGATGAGCCTGTTAACACTGAAGTACGTTTTAGAGACACCTGAAAGAACTTCAACAACCTTGTCGTTAATTTCATTGCAATGCTTATTTTTAGGGGCCAGGATTGCGCAGTTTGTGAAATCTACGTTCGAACATGAGGAAGCTATCTTTTCCATAAATTTCAGTAATAATATCAGTTTCAGTAATACTGCTTGTCGGTAAATCAATGAATTCCGGCATGGCCTTTTTTAGCAGAAAGGTAAACACAATACCTATTTCGAGTTAAAATTTTGCAAACTCCGCTTCGTCTTGCAAAGTTCTCATATTTTGAGTAAGTTTTCTGATTTTGAAAAGAGGTCAAAGTGGTGAGAATTTGATTACATTTTGCACCAATGTTTGGCGAGAAGCATGCGGAACAACGGGTAAAACCTGTCTAAAATCACCACCCTAGACGACAATTTTTCCTCGAAAAGGGATATCATTACTCATTCTCTAAGAAGTCGGTCGATGCATGCCAGAGCATGCGTGATAACCATGGGAGCTTCACCCCAAAAAATGATCGTTGTTTTCCGAATAGTCTCAGCCTCTCTTGAGCTAACCGTCAGACTCGACACAGAATTCTCATTCAGAACCGAAGGAATTTTGAATTTGCTATGAACCGGCCGACCGTTAGGTAGCAACGATGCGGCGATACCTGTCCAAGCAACGGAGATGACGTCTAAGTTTTCCTTTGTACAATACGCAGTAAGACATTCTTAAACGAAAGTTTTTCCCGATCCTCCTGGACCATCAATGAAAATAGCATTACACGTGTAAGATGGATTTTGGATGAGACTAATTAATTCAGAAATAATTTGATGTTGCTCTGGGTTAGCGGCAGAAATCATGGAATCATAGTTTTAGGGGGGGGGGGAGAGTCAGGCTCCGACCCTTGAAGATTCAGGTTAATTGGAAGCAATTCCGGAAGATCAAATAAATGATGATATTGAAAATCCATGAAGTCTTAATGTGCTTTCAATAGCAAAAAGCCGATGAACGTAGTCGACCGACCAACAAAATAAAGAGAGAGGAAGAAACGAAGTATCAAGCAAATTTTAAACAAAGTTGGAAAGAGATAAGAACAAATAAGAATGAAATGTCCATAACAATACATGTTGTTAGCAATACGTGTGCGCACCGCTGCAGTTAATAAGTCAGGGTCAGTCAAACCGCCAGGATGCCTATCAAGAAGTGGTGAAGCGGAGTAGCCGAGAGACTGCGACGGAATGTGGGTGGTGAGTGACGAACGACAATGCGACCCAAACCTTCTTTGAGGTTGGTGGGAGGAAAGCTACACGAAAGAAAACGGAGATAGCCGAAAGAACGTGGTGGGAGGGGTGGCTGAGACCCTAGGGGGGGTATCTAGGGACGGGCAAGCAGGTAGCGGTCAGATGACCGCTCGAAACAGCTGAACTTTACTCGTCGATAAAAGTAAGAAAATTTGAGAAAATCGAAAAAACAACTACAGCCTGCAAATCTACAGATCAGAAGCTTTCATTTAAAAAAAACCCCATGCAAATCGGTCCGGTGGTTCTCTCAAAGTTAATGTCCCAAAATGCGGACTTTAGTCTCAATAAATGGGAGAAAATTTGAGCCCAGCTAAACTTCACTCGTCGATAAAAGTAAGACAATTTGAGAAAATTGAAAAAACGACCACAGCCTGCAAATTTACAGATCACAGGCTTTCATTTAAAACAAAAATCATGCAAATCGGTCCGGTGGTTCTCTCAAAGTTAACGTCCAAAGATTCGGACCTCCGTTTTAATGCATCGAAGAAAATTTGAGAAAATTATGGGAGAAAATTTGAGAAAATCGAAAAAACGATCACAGCCTGCAAATCTACAGCTCAGGGGCTTTCATTTAAAAAAAAGATCACGCAAATCGGTCCGGTGGTTCTCTCAAAGTTAATGCCCCAAGATTCGGAACTTTGCATTTTAATATATAGGATTATCTTAGTCTAGTTGTAATGTATTACTCGCCGATTCAAAGTACAATTAACGATTCACCGCTGGCTGATCAAGAAGTGGGATTTCGCCGATTTCCTCCGGACCTTCCTCACCAGAAAGAACCCGCTGGCTTAATCTTTTGGAGCAATCTCCATCAACACACTGTAAGGAAAATAAATTAGTGCTTTTGTCAAGAGACCAAATTATTGTGATTATGGAAAAACGGTATTGTGGGGGGGGGGCACTGTGAGATAATCGCGTTTGAAGCTTTAAAAGTTTGTCAAATAAGGCTCATCCAATTCGGGAAGCCGCGGTTTTTAAATTAATCAAATAAAGATGCGGTTTGAGTTAACTAAAAACTTTAACAATATTTCCCCGAAAGATGTAAAAACAAACATTATCCTGGTTGCATCAGGTAAACATTTAGAGGTCCGGCGGACCCACGAAATCTTATGTAGTTTTAAATATTCTAATTTTTTTAAAATGTTAGTGCCAGGAATATTTCATTTGCATTTTTCTAAATTCAGGTCTTAAGAATACATTAATCAATCAGGATACGCTCCACATTGTCTAGAGCCCCAAAACTGTATAGTTGAAATAATACATGGATAGATTTCTTTGACTTATATTTTCACTGATTCCAGTCGTTTATTATTTCTCGGTACATTGCTTTACTTTCGAGAAAATCAGTTACGGAGAGTTAGGTTTGAGCAGAGAAATTAGAGCTGTCGGCAGAAAGCCACCAGGCTTGCTCTCAAATGCTCCAGGCTTTGCTTGAGCAAATCATTCAGGAGACCGTAGCCAAACAGTGCTGTTTTGACGCAAGCTCCAATTAAAGTTAAACCTGTGGCGTTCTGCCGACAGCCCTGACTTGAACCCTAATTTCTTTCCTCAAACCGAATTCTTTACAACCGAGATTCTCGAAAACTTAGCAATGGGCCTGTTGCAAGGTGCGGGGTTTTGCAAATTGATGCCTGATATCTATGGCAAATTTCACGGTAAGAAGGATGGCGCTACTAAAAACACTTGATATGACCTCTCAAACTCAAAATAAGCTGTTTTTGGAACCGACCCATTCGAAACGGCCTTTTTAACGCGGTAACGGATCCGCCATACTTGTGACGTCAAATGGTTCGACGTAGACCTGGTCTCTTCATCACTTACAATGTATTTTCCCATAAGGAATCGGCAGCCATTTTTCAAATGCAAATATCGAGTCAATCTATGATTTTTTGAACAAAATGAAATTCAGAAATGGATTCCTCGTACGTTTAAATGGTTGGAACCCTCATTAGATAAATAAGAACCGATGGGATAAACCCCATTTTTCAGGAAGACTGTAGTCAATGGGCGATTATTTACATCTGCTTGGTGATAACAGACATGGACACTAGCTCAATATTTAGCCATTTTCATGAGTTTTTACTTTTTTGTCACTATTTAGAGGTAAGTTTCTCTTGTAAATCAATTGTTCAGTGCCTTAGGATCATGTTAAAAGCTGTAACGGTACACATTGTTACTTATTAGTTCAGAACATACTCCGGCAGTCCAACGCTCAAATCAAGGATGTTCTCTCAGTGCAGGTAAATCATTCTTAACTCTTCAACAAATATCTCAATATCATTCAGAACATTTCCACGTTTTATAAACTTATGTTACCCACTTTAAAGTCCTGTGTGTTTTTAATGTAATACTATACAGAAAAATGTATCGATAAGTCTAGTAACCGAAGAAGGATCCTACGTCTACTTTCCTTGCCTCCATCTAAAACATACCGGTCTCCTCATCTCATCAATATTGTCAAAGATAAGTTTTTTTTTTTTTTTTTNTTTTTTTTTTTTTTTTTTTTTTTTTTTTTTTTTTTTTTTTTTTTTTTTATCATCAATAATTGATACTATCATTTTGGGGTCTTCGGTGAAACATTGAAGGGTGAAATATTAAGAAATAACAACTGACTCGCTACATCCAGGTTTGAGCGTTGGACTGCCGGAGTGTGTTCCGAGTTAATAAGTAACAATGTGCACCGTTACAGCTTTTAACATGATCCTAAGGCACTGAACAATTGATTTACAAAAGAAACTTACCTCCAAATAGTGACAAAAAAGTAAAAACTCATGAAAATGGCTAAATATTGAGCTAGTGTCAATGTCTGTTATCACTAAGCAGATGTGAACAATCGCCCATTGACTACAGTCTTCCTGAAAAATGGGGTTTATCCCATCGGTTCTTATTTATCTAATGAGGGTTCCAACCATTTAAAGGTACGATGAATCCATTTCTGAATTTCATTTTGTTCAAAAAATCATAGATTGACTCGATATTTGCATTTGAAAAGTGGCTGCCAATTCCCTATGGGAAAATACATTGTAAGTGATGAAGAGACCAGGTCTGTCGAACCATCTGACGTCACAAGTATGGCGGATCCGTTACCGCGTTAAAGTGACGGTTTTAAAATCCGAATTTTGAGGCGTTTCTAAGTTGATTTTTTGGGGGTTTCCGGTGATCAAAAAACTTCGGGAAAATTTCTGTGACATCAGGAGCCTTAGTTCTTTCGATAAAAGCAATAAAGAAAATTGGTGCAACAGGCCCATTCGTTGCCTCGAGAAATGTGAAACGGCAAGAAAAGGTATTCAAATATTGGTCAAACAATTTGCAGCCATAAATTAAGTAATCTTACCCTCGGCTCGCTGAAAAATGTCTCTTTTGGAGGAATAAATAATATAAAGTCAGGACTTACATCCATTGTAACTGTCTTCACCAGGAGTGATCCGTTGGCTAGTGTTTCGATACTTCCATTCATCATTCTAGCTTCAGAGTGTATTTCTCCTAAAAAAAGTGGCTCAGTTCCATTGCTTTGAGACTGAGCTCCAGATTGAGCTGGTTCAGCGTGTGTTTGAGATGGAGAGTTAGCCGCACTCTCCTTATCAGATCCATCGCACTTGACTGTAATGGTGCATCAAACGAACAAATGGTTTCAATGGTAACTTTTTTTTTCTCGTACCTGGTATGCTGCATAATGATTTCAATACAACTAAGGCTCTGGGAAAATGTTTCAAACTCAGACTTTATCGATTGATCAGCTCATTCTCGTCAATACCGTTGATAAGTCTTCAATACAAGAAATACTTAAATTTAAATTTACCTTTTTTTAAATATTATGGAGGTAAAATTGTAATTTTATTGATTCTTGACCTATTTTCAGACAAACATAAATCCATTTCATGACATTCGGTGCCATTGCAACATAATTTCAAACATTTATGCCTGTTGGCTCAATAATTTAGCGTGTAGATCACTAATATACGTACATAAATTTCGTTAACTGGTATAACATTATGATTACTTCGTTTGCGGTCCACAACATCAACGGATTGTTGTGCATATCTCGGTAAATTTTCCACAAAAAGGGAGTCAAATTCCGAGGGAATCCAAACAAACGTTCTCTTGTAAAAAAAAATAAATTGCCAAGTTAAATTGGCAGTAATTGAGGTGGCTTGGTTCCTTTCTCCTAAACGCCAACGCTAAATTGCCACTTGATTCTTTATAGTAATTAAAGCATGCACTTAAAATTTTGCGTTTTCGGTTCTAATCTTGAAATTACACATTTAATTTATTATTATTGTCACCTGGAATGAGAGTGATAATGATATACTTTAATTAACAAAACAAATTAAGTGGAAAAATTAATTTAATGATAATATATTGACTTAATTCTTGTTTCCAAAGAGCTGAAATTCATCACTTTCTACCCTATTATATAGAATGCAATGCAATCCCCAGTCAGGGTTTATGCCTTACCGGAGCTAAGGACAGCGACGAAACAAATGGCTGCGAAGAGTTGCAGTCTACAATCAAACTGCAGCATTTTGAACGTTAAGGTTTCACGAGCTAAAATAAACTGCAAATAAAAGACCTAGTCACAGAAACGTAGCACACATGACCATGAGTTGACCATTTACTTATGTGAATCGCGAGGTACTCCAATGCTTCATTCATAACAATGAAACGATGATTCATTCCGCGATGTCGTATCACGATTTTATTGCGCAATAAAAAGAGACTGAACAATCTAGAAGGTTCAAAATGTTTGTGGTTTTATCCAAATTTTCCGTCAGCAATTTTTTGTGTGTATGAATGAGGAAGGTGCCATTAAAAAAACTCATTACTCGCGCGTGATAACACTTATTGGTCATTGTGTTATCACCGGTTGACAAAAGAATCATAAGACCGGATTACACTGAGAGCAACGAAGAATCTCTTAGTCGTCTAATTATTTAAATACACACGAGGCACATTAAATAGATTAGTTTTTCCTCACGTATATTTTTAACAGTTCGGGAGATAATTGAATGAGCTGTGCACTACAATGGGCGCCAGTTATTTAAAGACTGTTCATTAAAATTATTGAAAACATTAGATTTTTTAAGTAAAGCAGATAAAACTAGTTGAAATAAAAGCTAGAGATGTCTTCCTTTGTTTGAATCCCATTTTTAATATAAAACGCGACTTTGGCTTTTGCAAAATGGATTCGTTTTATCGGTAATCCAGGATTAGGCGAAAGGTCTAAGACAATATATGAGGATTGCGTGAATAGGAACTTTAAAATCTGCTACAGAAATGCGCGAATTTAAAATGAAGTTAATTTAAGACAGAAGTTAAGCAAAATAGGAAACAGTTGGGAAATAAACGCATTTTTATGCTCACACTAGTGTGTAGGTTAGTTTTTCATCGATGTCTTACATTCTGATGAAAAATCAAGTGAAAAGACTGAATAGTTGTGGCGGGTATAAAGAACTTTCCTAACTTTTCTCGAAAAAAATATTCAATCGGGAGGAACGAGGCAACGTTGGAATGCTCATACGGCGTCGAAACACAGCATGGACCTTTTGAGCTCTATTATTCGATGCCGCGATTATTCTAAAGCGAATTGGAATAACTGCGCGAAACACACTGCGGTCGGCGTATAACCCATATCAGCGCCTCCAAGACTGCATGAATACTTCTCGCATTGCGCCAAACGCAATGCTGTCGGTCAGTTGGCGTGAAACGCATATTAGCGCCTACATAGGAATGCTGTCGGACTGCGTGTCAGCATTCTTGACTTCCTGCTCCAGTTTTCACCATAATTAATGGGGAAATGTGTATCCTCACTGAAATGATTCAGAAACTCGGATGATATTTAATTTTTTTTTGTTGTTATATTAAAAGAAAATAGAACGAACGAAAATATCGCAGCAAAATGTTTGATATTTCTATTTAAGATCGCTTAGGTAAATTTCTGGAAACTTTTCAGAAAAACTGAGTGTAGCTATTAAAAAACGTTTTTTTAAAAATCGAACATAAAAGTGGTGCACAACGTTGAAATCAGATAATTATACGCTTTCTTTCGGGTGCACTCGTCGGGTTCAGAATCCATTTATCTCTTATAAAACTTGAACATGGTTGTTTTATAATTTTTTACGTGTAATTTTTTCAGTGGTTCACGGCCACGTAGCAGCCGCAGGCCCCTAGTTCACTTTTAAGTGTCTATGAAGCTCTCTGGGCCATTCGTGCTGCGAGAGCTATCCATCGAAGAGAAACATGCCCGTAAGTGAGGAGGGAATGAACAGTCTTCCGCGATGTAGTTTTTTTACCACAAACTACCAAGGTTGCCAGATTAACGCTTCCTCGTTGAATATTGAATATTCGAGCAAACATGTGAGAATTCAGTACCAGAAACATTCGCGCAATCCTATACATCTCCAAAAATGTGAAATAGGGGGCATTCGGGCATCGCAGCCCGTTTTATATAAGCAATGTGGGTGTGCCTTCATTCATTTCCTTATTCTAAGTTTTCACCTTAACTACAAAATTCATACCAAAACTTTTGAACTTGGCAACCTACATCTTTTTTAAAAATGAAATTATTTCATGAAAAACTGATTCGGAGCAAATTTTCCTAAATTGCTAATTGAAATACTTATAATGTAACTAAACATGCTCGAACATGCGACATTTGATAATACCATTTGTGGTGTGGAGGTAATATTCTTAACTTTGTTGAACTCTATTTGTTTCGTTTCATTTCGTTTTTTCGAACCATGCTTGTTTTTAATTACGGTGAAAACTTTGCAGAGTCTTTAATGATCACAATATTAACCGAGACAGGCGCTTTCTTGGAGCTTCCTTTTTAAAGCACACTTTTTCGCAGAAGTTATCCAATTAAAATGACATCTCTGAAGAGAAAATGGAAAAATCTGATACCTAGGAGAACGCCTTCGTGAAGTTTAAAAATTTGCGATCGAACTTATCTTTGGCCAAACACTTATCTTTGTTATCTTATCACATTCTTCATAGCACTTTTTTGTCTGTATTTTAATTCCGGTAATCCATAGATTGTTTACGCAAAGCATAAAACTTTTGAATACAAAATCAAGCCAGGATGAAAATGACCAAATTGTCTGATGACTGCGAAGAGTGTCTCCGAAATGAGATATCACCAGTATAATCGGGAGGATGAAAGTAATATAAGATGCACTTTGCAAATTACGCAGCCTCCGAGCCGTGTTCAAAGGCGCAGTGGCGATTCTTGACAGATGGCAACACTGTTTTTTCTCAATGTGAATGTACTCAAAAAAATCGATTATTGGTGAGGTAGCTTGCCTCACATGTATTAGATAGTTTCAATGGATATAAATGGGGAAAAATAGTGTCGCCAACCGGCAAAATCGCCACTTTATAGTCGTTATTCAAACGGTTCTTTTTCCGTAGAGTCCCGATGCCATTTTAATCACATTCACATTGTGATTGAAGGTTTAGGGAGGTCCTTAGAAAAACATCAAATATAGAGTAATTTTTAAGAATATCCAGTACTTAGAGAATAGCTTCGAAAATATATCTGCGGTGGTAGCCAATCACCATCCATCGGGAGAAGTGCGTCTTGCGCTCACCTCTCATTGGATGGTGCTTGGCTACCACTACAGAACCATGTTTTATCTCTTCAAAAATGATTGTCACAAGCTTTAAAGGATAGTTACAAACCTACCTTAAAATTCGCAAACCCTGAGATTTTTTTCTTTTTCTGAGTCTTCAATTTTTTGTTGAGGCAAATCGGTTTAGTATAAGAGTCTATTTCCAATGTTATACTGTTGATTTTCACCGGAATTCCGTTAAATTTGCTCTTATCATTATGCTTTATCAAGGATGTACTTAAACCTCATCCCTCAGGCACACTTTAATACAAATGGTGCTTCCTGAGAAAAAGGGTTCGCTTAAGGAGCGACCACGTATACGGCTCTACAAAGAGTTTTTTAATCGAATCGAAGCGTATATTTCAGACCCCCCCCCCCCTCCGATGCGCTCATCATGATTTTTGAGTCATTCTCTATGAAGAGCAACTCTTCTTTTTGCTCTAGCTGAGGTTTGCAACAGACTAATTGTATAACTTATGTTTGACTCCAAATCACAATTTTGCAGCGAATCTTGAATGTTTTATTATTCAAATTTCTGTAATTGCTTCTAATAAATATACAAATACTATAGTTATATAAATAAAAAATTCACCCCGTGACTTCCCCGAAGGTCTGCGTCTTAACGCTTACTTCTGAGTGTAATAAGTGGATAATGCCGCTGCTCAGGTTCTCTTCAAACCTATTTGATGGAGGTAAAATTATCCGAGGAGCGTATTAGTACAGCTCATGTTTCATTCAAAGTGCACTCCCAAATCGTCACCAAGTTTTGAACTTTCGGTGGTGAAATCCCGCCCGTTACAGAACTGCGGGGGAGTCTTGCTGGCTCTGTAATTTGTCACTCGCCTCGTGTGATGATAGATTTGACACAGAAGAGAAATTGCTGAGTATGAAGGGATACCGAATGTCAAACAGAAAAGCTCTAGCGTACACCACGTCAACCATTTGTCCACACGCCGCACAATGAATCGAGTCAATTAAAGAGGTCGCTCATGAACTATTTAACTTAAACTGCAAATGTTGATGTTTTAATTTGGCAAATTTCAAAGTTTAAAGGGTGTCTCTGAACAAAATTCCACGAGGAAACCTATAATAGAAAACCTCAAAGTTTTGTATAAACGGAGTTTAAGCTTTTAAAGTTTCCAAATTTTGTCCGACCTCTTCCATTGACTCGGTGCGGTGGCGTTTGCGGACGTGGCGTTTGCGGATTCTAAGAATCCAGTGGTGTTTGCGGATTCTTATATTTTGATGGTGGCGATTGCGGAAAGGCGGAACAGGGCCGGTGGAGTTTGCGGACCAGAGAATTTCAGCGGTGGCGATTGCGGACGAAGGGGTACCTAGGCACTTAATTATGCTGCCCCCACCCCTGCGCTGTATATTAAAGAAAAAAATTACCGAAGAGGCTCTGGGTTCCTTTCCGTGGATGAAAAAAAATATAAGTATTAAACATTAGTATTATATTAGTATAAAAACATATGAGCAGTGAACATGCAGTAAAGTTTTAAAACATGCATATCAGAAATCAAGAACTTATAAATATTTTTCTTCCAATTTTTCATAGAATTTTTTTCGCACTTTAATACACATTACCTGAAAATTTCATAGAAAAATATTCATAACTTTTCTCAAAAATAAACATTGTATCGAAGGAAATTTGGCAACTTTCGAATGTTCATACGGCGTTTTTCCTCAGCACGGCAGTTTGTACCTATGTACCTATGTGTTTTCATTTTTCATATGTAATTTTTCTACTTTCAGTAATTTTGGACTAGAATTTACAACATGTTTTGAATCCTAAAAATGGATTGAAACTGACGATTTTTTAGTTTCTTGATTTCTGATATGCCTTTTTTAAAAATTTACCGTATGTTCACTGCTCATATGTTTTTATACTAATATAATACTAAACTTTAATACTAATATTTTTTTTTTTCATCCACGAAAAGGAATCCCGAGCCTGGCGGTGTGCTTTATTCGGAAATTGAGTACTTCAGGGTAGGTTCGACACCAAGAAAATACAACTTTTCAACGGCTTGAGCGCGCACCGTGGTATGCACGCAAT